AGTAGCTTGGTTTAATCCTCTCCAAGATAAATCTGTTTGTTTTCCTGGCAGTCCAGGGTACATTCGGTACCCTTCTCCAGCACCATAGCTCAAAAGCATCCACTCTCCTTCTGTCCTCCCTAGTCATTGTCCAACTCTCTGATGCATAACAAGCGACTGCAAATACCATGGCCTGTATCATGACAATTTTAATAATGCAAAATAAATAAATGGACGTATATTACAAATTATAAATGTATTTTTAAATATTAAAGAAAAGAGACATTCATTTTATAGTTATTAATAGATTACTTACTGTTAATATAAAATCTCAAATATATACACAAAAACATACACATTTAGTCATTTAGGAAAAATGTATATGGATTTATCCTTGCCTCTTTTGGTTCATAATAGCAACCTAATACTTAACTTTGTATCTTCTTCTTGCTGTCACTAGTACTAGAATTAAAAATGTGTAATTCAGAATTCATGTCTGATTCACAGAACAAGTTAAAAAATTATATATATATATATATATATATATATATATACACCTATAATAGCCTTAATAGATGATTTCAGAGAAAATATTCAATAAGTGTTTAACTATTTTACGTTTGCAAGTAATTAACAATATTGTGAGATACTTTTCCAGTCCCAGTGCATTGACTAGTTATTTTGTTTCCCTAAAAGGTTGGAAAACATACCTTCCTAAATCGCATGAGCAGGAACATCTAAACACAAAGTATACATTTCAATAGCTCTTACCAAAATAATTCTAAAGAATTCTGTTCTAAAAAATGAAACATCATTCATTCAAATTGAGTTTTCTTATCAAATTTTTTCCAGTCTACTATTATAGGAAACTACTCAATGAATCTGATGAGCATACCTAAGTTTACTTGGTTAGTGTTTATTGGCACTGCCCTTCCTGATTTTCAGTCCTAGCTCCTTCCACTTACCTTTAAATTGAAGGTCAGTGTTCATTTTGTTCTCCTTATATGAAGAACAGCTTATAATTCTGAATGTTTTAGTATTTTCAAATAGAAATAGAAGACTGCAATCAGTGCTAACAGAACACAAGTACCACTTTTGATACTACCTTTCCTTGTGCTTTCCTCCCCCTAACCATCAATCTTCTGCTCTGGAGAAACATTTTAAGAATCCTCTAATTCCCTAGTGAAATGCCTATGGTATGGGGGAGGAGAGAGAAGCTAAGTTACCATGGAATCAGCCAATTAATTTTGACACCTGCTTACCAAGATTGTTCAATCATTTCTGATGTCTGTTTGTTAGGTCGCTATCCTTCAGTTTACTAAAAGATCCTCAAGATAATTAATAAACTGTGAATTCCCAGTTAACGTCTTTCCCACTGTGTAATTACTTATAATGCTGGATAAAGTAAGCCACCAGCACCAGCCTCAAAATAAATCCTTCGCAGCTCAGTATGTACTTTACCAGGAAAAATGTTGTTATTCTAAATATGCTTCCTTCCTTTAACATTAAATACTGCACCACCTTTTTCTCTACCTCCAAGCACAGATAGCTGTTCCCGTTATATTTACTCTAATTAATAGCCTTCCTTCCACAGAGAAATGGGAAAGCACACACCAAAAGGGTACAATGAATCATGGGAAATAACAGCTTCCAAGGAAACTGTGGAATGATTGTACAGAGTACATCACTATTTAACGATATGTATATAAAAAAAATCTCTTCTTTTCCTCACTAATGCATGATATTTATAAGTGCCATCTCTCAACGTTATTTAACCTAATTTTAACTCGATCTGTGATCTTTCTTACTAACTGGGACAACATCTGCTAGTGAGGTCATTGCTGCTTATCCCCTACTGTAACCAGAAGAGTCCCAGCATCACAGTAATTATTGTCCTTTTTCAGACAAATGGAATAAATCTACCAACAAAAGACCAGGATCAGTAAACTGCATATTAATCGGGAAGTTTCCATTTTCATGTATAAAAAGATATACCAAAAAAACTGAATATAGCTTTTTGAAAATTACCAGCTGCCAACATATAAATATTTTCATAAATAAATATTTTAAAATGCCTTCTTCTCAAGCAAAACATCAGCTTTCTCTGACATAGCAAAAGGTTAAGAACATTCTACTGCCATACGGGGTCGCTGTCAGTCAAAACTAACTCAACAGCACTCAACAATAACTTGAAGCCAAGCCCATCGCCCACTTCATCCATCCTGACTCTCAGAGGCCCTGCACATAGAGCAGAATTGCCCAAACAGGGTTTCCAAGGCAGTGATCTTTAAGAAAACAGACTTCTCTTTCTCCAAGGGAGAGACTATTGGTCCAAACCACAGACATTTTGGTTAACAGTGCTTATCTTCTGTACCACCAAAGTTCCCTGCCTAACAATTTAAAACAACAACAAAACCTCAAATGCACTGGTGTAGACTCATAGCTGACCCTCCAGCGGCTTTTCAGACGCAGTAAATCACACGGGAGAAGATTGTCCATCTCTCTCTGGTGGAGCAGACAGTGGATTCAAATTGCCTGCCTTGGGGTGGGAGGTACTATTCCTTACCCACGAGGCCACCAGAGCACCCTTATGTGACAATAACAGGTAATAAGATAAATTATTTTAAGAAAATGTCTGTTAACAAACACAATCCAGTAAGATATCTTTCTTCAACTTGAAACCATTACCTTTCATAAGCACTCTTCTCAATTTTTTTAAAAGTATTTCCATTTGTGAGCTGATTGGATTTGCTGGATTTGGTTCACAATGAGCTGTGTGCTGGAAGCCTCTTATTTAAGTCAACCAGGACCTGGTGGGTGGCATTGTGTATTTAAAAGGCGGGTGGAGTCTTGGGCCTACTGTTAATTGTGTTTGGAATGAACATTCTTCTAAGTGGTACAGCACTGATCTGTCAATTACTGTACTGAGGTAACTTTAGGTTGTTGTGATTCTGAACGCTGTGCCACTGGTGTGTCAAATGGTATCAAGAGTAATCCATGGAGGACAGGGTTTAGTGGAGTTCCCAGATTAAGATAGGCTTGGATGCAGGAGTGGCATCCACTCCCTAAACAACACACTTCAAGAAACTCTATAAACTTAGATAAACTATAACAGTTATAGTACAAAGTTTAGGTCTTTTGTTCATAGAGTCGCTATGAGTCGTGATCAGCTTGACAGTACTTAACAACAACAACAACAACAACATGGTTTTGCACTAATTTGTGAACGTATGATCCCAACTAACATTTCAACCTACTGCAATGAGCAGATTTCCTAAAACTTCAGTTGGTGACTACTCTTCCACACTGCTGTAGTAAATTCATTTAAATGGTAAGCTCCCAGCAGAAAGTAAATATTCTACCCAAGTGGTCAAGTGGTAAGAAGCTTTGCTACAATCACAAAGCATGCAGTTCAAATCTACTGGAGAAGGATAGGCAGCTTCCTCCCATGCACCTCTGAAAACCCACGAGAGGGTCAGCTATGATTTGCTTTCAACTCAATGCCATACAACATCTTTTTTAAAAGAAAAATTAAAAATCTATGTAGTACCAAGTTTTAGGGACATTTCTTTAAAGCAGCACTAATAATAATGGGAAAATATGCCATTCTTAAAATGCCAGAAAAATGTTCCTACACTGATAGGGTTAACCATAAAAGAGTTGGAAACCCATGACACAATTCACATAGATTTTTCTATCATCCTGACAGTTTAAAACCAACAACCATTGAGGGGACTCATAGTGACCCTACAGCACTTCTGCCTCACTGGGCTTCGAAGCCTATCAAATCGTGTATCTACCACATCTTCCTCCTGCCAAGCATGGTGGACTGGAACCAGTGAACTTTCAGTTCGCAGCAAAGAGCTAAACCACTGCATCACTAAGGCTCTGCATCGTACCATTAAACATCAGCAATCTGTGGAGTGTAATTCCAGAGTCACAAAACAGCCAGCAAAGCTTTTATGAGATTTTGCTGACTAAGAAGCAGACTGACTTTAACAGAACTGCTATCTGCAAGTTATCCAAAGGATGCTCTAAATGGCTCCCACTGACATGCACCTCTCCCCCCCACACCCACAGTCTTTTTCACATCCGGAGAGAATGAATGCCACGAACACCAAGCAACAGAGCCAGAGCAGCACTTGTCCAGTCCTAAAGTGAAGTCCTTGCCCTCTTCAGAAACACCTAAGTGATGCTCCTGCACAGCGGCTGGGAAGTAAACAGCCATTTAGAAAAATTTCTTCTCTTCACGACATAAAGTCAGGTGTCCTTTTATCTCAACCTAAGGCATTCGTGTGTGTCTCAAATCAGGACTGTGCTAGCAAATGCAACATAGCACGCTGGTTAAAAATGCAAAAAATGCGCATTCTGGAGTTCCAGTGGATGGGCTGGAATCTCGGCTCTGCCTGCTACTCTGTCATCCTGGGCAAGTGATGCAAAGGCATCGCCTCGATTTCCGACAGGAAACCTGGTCGAACAATTCTAGTAACTCAGCATTCTGAGATAAAATGCATAAAGAGATTAACAGTGTTTGGAGCACGGGAAGCCTCGGCTTGCGATGACTATTATTGCAAAATAAATTAAAACGAGGGCAGTGGTTAACTCCAGAGAGGGGAGCAGGACGCAGAAAGAGGGGGGTTCTGAGGAACCAAAACTTTCACCCTTTACATTCCTATCGGTTTGGATTTTTCACTGTATTCATGAGTTACTTACATGTAAAAAAAAAAAAAAATCAAAGCCTTCTCCTAGCAGAACGCTGTTTGGCACCATAACTAAGTAGGGAAATGTCGATGAGCAGGGCATCAGAGTGGCTGCGGGCATTTGGGACACTGGAAAGGCTGGGCGTCCACGCGGTCAGCGGTCAGTGTTCCGCAAGGACAGGGGTCCACCGGACGAGAGGGGCGTGGTGCGCGAACCCACTCGGGGTGGGGGGTCCCCAGGCCCCGGTGGGGCGGGCGCAGGGCTGGGCTGCGGCGCAGGGGGGAGGGGCGACGGAGCAGGGGGGAAAAGGAGGCACTTACTTGAACCTGCCCTGGCAGTGCTGGCACTGGTCCCCCACCCAGCCCGGGTCGCAGAGGCAGGTGGAGTTGACACAGCGGCCAGAGAAGCAGGAGCCGGTCTTGTCGCACGGCTTGGACTGGGACACCTGCGCGTAGAGCGCCAGGTAGAGGAAGCCATAGCACAGCAGCCAGCTGTGGCCGTCCAGCAGCCAGAAGAAGGCGCCCCCGCTGCCGGCCGGCCGCGTCCTCCACAGCCCCGGGGCGGCCGGCTGCGGGGCGTCGGGGTGGGCCCGCTCCCCGGGCTCCATCTCCCCCCGCGCCCCTGCCCGGTGGGGCTGCGGGCGCCCTGCGCGACGCCCCCGGGACTCCCGGCTGCAGAAGCCTCGCCGCCGCTGCTCCTCCGCCGGCTTCTGCGCACAGCGCCCGCCCGGGTCCCGCTGCCCGGTCAGGAGGGGCAGATGGACAGATCCCCGCCGCCGCCGCCCGCGCTCCGCTGCCTCCGGTCGCACTCGGGCATCGCCCCGCGGTCCCCTGACCTTGTCCTCAGCTCGCCCACCGCGCCTGGGTGCCCGGGCCGGGCCGGAGGCTGGAGCGTGGCTGCGCCGGGCGCTCGCTGGACCCGAAGGGCGCAGGGCCCGGGGGAGGGGTCAGAAGGGGGAGGAGCCTGCGGGGGGAGGAGCTCTCGTTGCCCCGCCCCCGCGCGCCGCGCGCCAACGGCGGG